TGCCCCCTTTAACCCCGCCCCGCACTGCGTCCGTCCTTCACTGCCCCCTTCTTTCGACTCGCCCTTGGCTCCACCCCCAGCCTGCGTCCAGCCCCCACTAGCTCCACCCCACCTGCGTCCAGCCTTTCACGTCTCCTCCCTTCGTCCCGCCCCCCTTGGCTCCGCCCCTCGGCCTGCGTCCCTCCTTTGCCGCCCCCCATCGGTCCCGCCCCTTTCTACATCCGTCCTTCCCCGCCCCAACCCTTAATCCCGCCCCATAGGTTCCGCCCCTCGCCTGCGTCCCTCCGCCGCTCCCTCCATCCACCGCACACCTGCCCGGGCCAGGTGTTCCGGGGCCGTCCCAAGACGTCGCCCAGGTTACGCCGGCTCTTTGTCCTAGTCTATTTTCGTTCTAGGATGTGAGAAAAGAAAGAACTCTTCACTCGAGACCCCAAGGGAAGAATCTGCAGGACGGATGTCAGCCGGCTTACGCACCAAGAACGGCGACTCAGTGGAGCCGAGAACTTGAGCGCGGCCTGGCGCAGACGCGCTCCTCCTGGTCTTCGGTTAGACTCCAAAAAGTCTGGAAGGCCGTCGGCGGGCAACCGCGCATGCGTCGCGTTGCCACGCTCGCGGGCAGCCGGCGGCGTCGGCCGGTTGCGCCTGCGCATTATGAGGCAGTGCGCGCCCTGGTTGCCTGGCTACGGCTGGCGGCGGCGGGCTCCCGTTTGGCGCTCGCGGTCGGGCCCTAGCAACAGCCGTCCCCGGTCGCGCGCCCCGGGCTTTGCTGGACGCATCCTGCGCAGACTTCGTTCGCTCTTTGCAGTGACCCGGGCGGGGAGGGCCGGCCCCGGCATCCCCCGTATCGGGTCTCCGCCGACTCGCCCCTCGGCCTCCGCCTCTTCGTCTCCGTCCTCATCCCCGGTGTGTCTGTCATCATCCTCCTCCCCGGCCCGGAGTGCTCTCGACCCCACCCTCCTCCCAGCCCGGAGTGCTCTCGTCATCGTTCTTATCCTCAGCTCCTGAGTGCTCTCGTCCCCATCCTACACCTCGACCCCTGCGTCTCCTGTTCTCGTCCTCC